TCTAAAGGTCCTTTTCTTTCTGCATGTCTTCTTTTGCCTTGTCTAGAGAAAAACAATTTCTTAAAATGCAAAGGAGGGTTATAGTTTGCTCATTGCATAATCTACCCTCACAAACTAGTCAGTTATTTAAACATAGTCATAGAAAATTTATTTCATGTCTGTAGTTTAGACATGGTTAGAGTAAGGCTGGAACAGTTCTCTTCTCAGTTACAGTCCAGTGTCCAAAGTGGTTGCATCTAATGGTTGTTCCACACCCAGCTTCTTATAAAGGTGCTGTCTGGATGTTTTGAGAGTGGATCAGGAGTTGAGTCATTCACTTTCCTCCAATGTGATCGACTCTGATAGGTTCTTCGAGACAGCCTGACTATGTTTTCACAGCTTTGGAATTGTACAGCACAGTTCTGAAACATTTAGCCATCTTAGAAACTGCTGTTTTAAGCCACTGAAATACAATTGTTCAGTCTTTCAAAAACTCAACCAGGGGTTTCAGCCCAATCAATAAATCAACATTAAACATTACCTTCATTAAACCTCTGTGACCTCATCAAAAATCTCACTAGGGTTAGTTAGATGTGATTTACCTTTAACAGATCAGTGCTTGCTTTCCTGAATTAATCTGCACTACGAGTGATTATTTGACCCAATTCTATAAATCTTTATAGTCATTTGATAACACATAACCTCAGGGCTACTAAACAAGACACACATGTTGTGAAAGTTTTTCATTTTGGGCTTATCAGGACAATTTGTAAGAAATAACAAAGTAAAAGGAAATTGGGTGGCATGGTGGGTCAGTGGTTAGCACTGCTGCCCCACAGCGCCAGGGACCCAAGTTTGATTCCAGCCTCGGGCAACTGCCTGTGTGGGTTTGCAGGTTCTCTCAGTATCTTCGTGGGTTTCCTCCAGGTGCTCAGGTTTCCTCTAGGTGTTCAGGTTTCGTCCCACAGTTCAAAGATGTGCAGGTTAGGTGTATTGGCCAGGCTAAATTGTCCATAGTGTCCAGGGGTGTGCAGGCTAGGTGGATTAGCCATGGGAAATGCAGCATTACAAGGATACGTTAGGGGGATGGGTCTGGGTGGAATGCTCTTCAGAGGGTCAGTGTGGACTCAATGGGCCAAATGGCCTGCTTCCACACTGTAAGGAGCCTACGATTCTATGAATCAACAATTTATACAGTTTTAGAAAACAGTGCTAATTAGTTGGCAAGTTGACCCAGTTTGGAAAACGCATTGCTTTTGGAAAATGAAGCAATTAATGATGCCTGACAATTAACTGCCAAACTTTGTTTAAAACAGGCAGAGTGATTTCAATTGGTCAAGGCATGCCCTGAAGAGTGAACCAAAGAATGGTTATCACCATTTCTGAGTTGAAATTGGCACACCCTACATACATGTTCTTTCTGTTCACAATGAACAGTGCTTTATGTATTAATATGTACAGCTTCCAATACACATAAGAGCACCGCACTACTCTCAGTTGATCCTTACTCTTTCCGATGGTATTCTAAAGCTCATCATATAATGATCACAATCAAGGCTGGTGTCCAGTGTGGTGCTCAGGTGATGTATTATTTAGACAGTACTGCGCTGTTAGATGTGTAATCTTTTGGATAAGACATTAACCTGAGATGAAATAAAAATCCCCAGACACAGTTTCATTGAAGAGCAGGGCGCTTCCCTATAGGTAATGTGACTGGTGCCAAAATGACGGGCTGAATGGCCTCCTTCTCTGTCATAACAATTCTATAATTCTGGATTGTTGCCAGTAGACCAGCTAAAATATTCCCTCAATCAACATCACAAAAACAGAATATCTGATCACTACTGTATTGCTGTTTGTGGAAGCTTATTGTGTGCAAATATCTGAAACCTTTGCTAGACCCAAAAGACTGGATTTACTTCAAATGTATTTAATTGGCTGCAAAACACATTTGGACATCTTGAGGTTTAGAGGCATTCTAAAAATACAAGCTTTTTTAATATCTATATATAATAGCTCATTGCTTTCTTCGTTCTTGAGCTTGAGAGAATTCTAACTTTAATGATGTTATGGTCATTAAGTAGCTAGGCAACAAGTCAGTGACTTATTTTCCCTTTATAATGGACCCTACAAACATTGAAACACTATGGAACCACCTGTTGAAAAATCAGTACTTTTGGGTACTTCTCAATCTTTCAGAGGAAATGTTAACATTTTAGAAAATCTGAAAACCTCATAGAAAAGGGAAAATAATCAGAATAATCCAGCTAAAATAAAAAGAAATCTCTGCACAAAACAGAACTGTGCACCCAGCATCAAATGCACAATGTTTCAATGTTTCCAAAGTCACCATTCAAGAGCTTCAATTTGAAAATCTATGCAATAGTTTAAAATTTGCCATTTGAACAGCAGTGAAAATTTTGACAAGATAATTTGGAAATGTGGAGTGGTATCAGGAACCAAGAATACAGTAGCATTCACAATTCAAACTTACACAGATGAGCTCAAGGAAATGTGAAGGGCTTAGTATTAATGAGTTAATATGATATAGAAAAAAAAGCATTCCAACCCATTGGGCAGTACCATGCATTCTGGCATTTAAATTTACATTCTGCTATGAGGATAGGATTGTAGATGAGTAAAGCCTTGCTTGTGAAAAAGGGAACGTTTTGATACAAATGGTTAGAAAATGGCAATGCAAATGGCTGGGAAAATTGTGAACATTTTACTGGATAAGATTGAAGTAACATTGGGGTACAATCGGAACAAGTAAAAGGTTTTGTCAGATTAGTATGAATGGCTACTGACATGTATTGGCTGTGCATGTCATAACGAGTACAGTGAAGTGCCCAGAATGAGGTTAAGGAAAACTGTGACTCAGAATGTATAGCACAGTATTCTCTGAATAAACAGAAGATGATACATAGCTATGTTAGCTTTGTGCCCTCCTCAACATGTTACATTTTGTTAGCTTGCATTATTCCCGTGTACTGCTACCTTGAAGAAAACTTCTTTTTTTAAAAAACAAAAAGGCCAGATTTTGTTGTCACTGGCAAAGCAACAAAGCTCATCACTGGCTTTAAAGAAAGCTGCCCTCAAAGATTTAGCAAAATTTGTGACATGGATTTCCCCTCTCTGATATTACTTTGAACCTGGTTGTAAGTCAAAGGAGTCCCAAGGCGCCAGCAACAATGAAGTCATTAACCATAGCCATCAACCAATCACATGGAAATATTCTCAACAACAGAAAGCCAAGAAGCTAAATGCACTGACATTTTTACGGTTAGAAAATGTACAGAAAATGAAATAAATATTTGGGACTTATAGACACGGAATTAAGGTAGAAGCTAAAATATCAAAACAAAAATAAGTTAAAAGAATGAGTTTTTTTAAAAGAGGTCATTATGACAAATTTGACATTCCACTGTGAAAAAATTAGTTTTTCAGGAACAGAGAGGTTAGTCATCTATCATTATGAACTACATTTAAAGAATCATTTAAAAACCAGTTGAACATCAATAAACAAGGTGTAACCTTTTTGAGTTTTTTTAAAGTGAGACCAATAGTGTAAAAGGTCAAGTTTTTATCACTTCAGTGATTTCTATTTAATTGCCTGCACAACTTCATGAAGTGGATGATGGATGACAGAATCACTGGCAGAAACATCTGAATTTTCACATTTAGCTACGCATGTATATTCCAGAAATTATTGCCCATTTTAGAAGAGTAATGATTCTGAACACTTCCAGCTTGCAAAATCCAAGCCAAAGATTTGATAAAATTTGCAAATACTTATCAGTATTGACATACAACCACTGAAAGTTCATTTTAACTCCTAAAACTCTAATTAAAATATTCTAAAAATAATGACTTAAATTTACAGCATGGTCACATTTTCCATCTAAAATTAAAAAAAGTAACTGACAATTTATAGAGGAATTTTGCTAAGCATAAGGGCAGTTGGACTACTACAGATGGAAAAGGATACATCATCTCAGTAACAATACTGTTCTGAACCTAGCTGAGGTTATTACTGGACAAGTCAGATCCCAGACTGAAATCTGGTTTGATAGACAGCATTTTGTTTTATTTTTGGCTTTAATGAAGATGTCTCTCACCAAACGTAAGCACACAATGTTGCAGATTTTGTTTTAACAAACAGTTTATCACACAAAGTAAATGACAATGAAATAGAATAAGCCAAACATTAGCACACTTTTAAAGACTTTGAAACACACAATAAAAATACAACCCCATTAATTCCAATAGCATCTTATTACAATAGTCAAAACACCAGAGAGAATTCTTCTCGATTTCACATAGGATTTTGACTTCACTGGCTTTAATTCCCGGATCTGGAGAATCTGATAACCTCTTCTTGATTTATTATAAAACTAAACCTAGACTTTGCCAGCTTCAAATAACCCATTCAGGGTTTTAACATGCACTTCTGGTCTGGAACTTTCATTAAACTCCTTACACTAAGGTAAACTATTGTTAACATTTCTAAACCATCCTCACCCTTTCTCAGGAGCAACTGCTTTACGCATCCAGCTTCAGCTGAAAAACTGCCTAACTGAAATCCAAAAGCATTTTTTATCAAGCTATGGGTGTTTTCCTCAAGCCTAAAAGAAACAATTCCAGAAATTTCTATCTGAAAGCTTAAATCACTGTACTGTTTATGTTGTTCACTTGTAAATTCTCCCAATTTAAACAAATTTTCATTAGCCTTCAAAGCTATCATTCTTAGCCTCTTTACACCAGACTACAAAAGTACAAGTTAATCATTAAACCCCCTCAGAAACACAGAAAACCCATATGCCACAAGTTTAAGTTCAAAAATCCAATCTCAAATATAAACTATATCAAAAGACATATATGTCACATACCTTACAACACATACAACAGAATGCAATTAATGTCACATCCAACTAGGACACTACTTACTCCTGTCATCAAACAAATCTGCGTAACCTTAAATTAGCTTATATAGTTGGATTGAAACTAAATCCAAGTCATACCTTTACTTGTTCTTCCAACTTGCCCAAACGCACATTGCCTGCTACAATCTTGTTTAAAACTCCATGTTTCTCATTTGTCAGGCTTTTGGTCTGTAGCAGAAATGACATAGGAGAAAATTAAGGTTGAACACTAAAAACTTTGAATAAAAATGATATGAGGAGGACAAAAAAAAGGCTAAGTCAAGGAGAGTTTATTGTAAGAAAATCCAACCATTTGTGCCAGCTGTTTGAGTCACATAAGTTCGGAAAATCTTGGGTTTGAAAGTTTGCGAATTGGGTAGAGGAACAAGTAAGGACAAGAAAGTATACAAATTTTTGCTCATTGCCCAGCAAACCTTTTTTCTGTATCAGAGAAACGAAGGTGGTGTTTGGTAGTGTTTTGACCAAAGGCTAGTGGTTTCAGTTACAAAACACGTCAATATTCACAGTTAAAGCTTAAACATTAATAATAACTATGCTGAGGATATGCCTGCTAAATAAATCAGCTCAAACTCCTTAGAAGGGAAAGGGTGAAAAGTCGCAAAAATATAGTGAAGCTAAGTTTTAATATATGAACACATTTAATTCTAAATGCTCTGTTTTAAGAAGAATGATGTTTTCTTGAATATCTGGTTTGAATTTCTTCCAACTGCAAATGAATTATATTAAAAGTACCATTAGAAAACATAGTTTGTATGTTTTGTAAACTGATATTAAAGACAACACAGTGCACCAGAATATTAACATTGATCACCGAAAGAAAAAGTAAAAATAACAAAAAGTGAAATTGCAAAAAGTGAAATAGCTTTATAAGAGTAAATCTGCAGTCTAGGGCTAGATGTCTTAAAGAATGCATTAAAATAGCAGAATGTAAGGAACAAGAAAAATGCAGCAAATCAAAGTCAGAACCGTAAGAAGTTTTTAGTTGTTAGATAGGGCACACGAATTACAAAGAAACGGAGGAAACACACCCATGAAGAGATATGAAAATGTTAAATTTGATTTCCTGAGAGGAGGAGTTAATCAGTAATCAGTTGAGATGGCAATAGGAATAAGGGAGAGGGAAAGAAAGCTGTAGGATTGAAGCCAACATTGGAGCCTGGAGAAATCAAATTAATCCTGCTCTCTCTGGCCTACAAGGGGGTTGCTATGTAGGCAGTCTCCAGCTTCAGATCTTTTGCCAGGCCACGCATTGAAATGCAGTTAATTTTTAAGTTATAGTAGTGATGAAGTCTTGATTTTAAAAAAATACCAGGAATGGGTCAGGTTGTTTTATCCTAATATCCTAACAACCTGTTGACTCTCTCCCAACTGATATCATGAAAAACATTTGACAGGAGTATCGCCTCTAGAGAAGGAATCTTTAATATTACTCACCACATGTACAAGTTGATCACGTTCATGAGCGGTCTTTTCAGCAAGACCAATCAAGTTTGCCAGATATTGGTGAGCTGCTATTTCTTTCTCCATGGCCTCTTCTGCTTGCTGTTTCAGAAGACCTATCTTCTTCTGTGCTAGCCTGTGAACCAGATTATTTTTGTGGGATCACTCATTGAAAATTCAATTATTGTATCTCTTGCACACAATTCTTTTACCCTTTTATCTACCCACAGTAATAACTGCACATGGCCACATTTGAACTATTGTACATAAATCACAGTTTATTTTTAGTTGGAGCTGGGAAGTTGAAATATGACAAAACTTTTCTCTGTCCTAACTTGTCTGTCCAAATTAATAATGGCTGGTTTTCAAGCAACTTAAGTCTGCATCTCTTTGCTTGATTATTTCTGGCAATAAATGTAAATATGATTAAAAAAAACATGCAACTAATCATGATTTCAGATCATCCAAAGCTGTCTCCATTTAAGGTACAATTATTGACTCCAAATCACCTCCATCACAAATACCACCTTAGTTCACACCTCTGTAATATCAGATAACTCCATTTTCATCTGAACCCACATTTTATCAAAGCACTTCTTGATGAAGTTGTTAGCACCACACTCAATAATTCAAATGTTCTACTGGCTAAACTTACATCCTCCATTCAATACAGATTTCAAAAAATTCCAACATACTGATCTCTTTATCTTACCCCGTTCCAAGTTCCCCAATCCTTCAAATTTAAAATTTATTTCCAATATTTAAATCCCATCACAACCTTGTCCTTCAGTCTCTGTAACCTCCTTCAGCTCCAAAAGCTCCCTGAACTCTCCCTTCCTCGAACTCGAGCTTCTTGTACTTAATTTGTCCCTTCATACCATAAATGGCAACGGTACTTTCAACTGCGTTAAAAATCACTGTCTGGAACATCCTCCCTTAGGCACTTAGTCTCTAACTCCATTAATTAGAAGATCATCCTTCCTTTTTAAGACCTAATGATCAAAACAAAGATTTTTGCCATCAATCATAATTATTCCTTCTTTGTTTTGACATCTGTTCTACCCTACTCCTTTGCAATGCTCTACAGAAATCTTTATCAAATTAAAGATAGTGTATAAATGCATTTAATTGTTCCTGTTTCTAATTCTGAACTGCTGCCAATATCTTAAGTCTGATTCTAGCCTATAGTCAGTTTCTGAGTGGAGATAATAGTGGGCATGAAATCAAGAAATTTTAGTGTGTTGGCTTTGACACAATTTCAATATTAATTCCAATATGTGACAACGGATGTGGTGCACCCCACATGACACAATCACAACTTGATTTTTTAAAGGGGCAATTCAAAGATGACATTTAGTGAAGTTAGGAATTCGTAGCAATATCTCAGATTTTAAATCTGAACTCTGGTTAGTTAAAATTGTGCTTTGATTTAATAATACCGGCCTCAAAATAATTGCTGGGTGCAAACAGGAACTGAAAAAAGGCAATCATCTGCCCCAGCAACAGAAAGAAGAACCTGCTGTCGTCAGCTAAAAAATATAGTTGCGGACATCTATCGCAAGAGTTATTTTAATTACCTAATTGGATCAAGAAAGGTGCATAAAGTTGAAAATTCACTGACATTTGAAACTAGATGGTGGCGGAGCAGGACACTCCAGCAGAGCTTGTCCGCTCTGCCCATTCTTCTTCTTTTCCTCTTCCTCTTAGTTCCTTTTTGTCTTCTTCTTCTCTCTGATGACTCCTGGCCTCCGGCAACAATGCCCAGCCTTCAGTGAGCAACGATTCCTGGCACTCTGCCGACGACAACTCCCTGCACTCTGGCGAGTGACAATTCCCAGCAGCCTCCTGGTCTGGTGCAGTGGCCTCCCGGCCTCCTGCAGCAGCCTCCTGGCATGGCATAGCAACCTTCCGATTTGGCACAGCAGCCTCCCGGCGTGGCATGGCGACCTTACGGCCTCACAACATGGTGTCTCGTCTACGTTGTCTGGAGCCAGTGTGGACCGGAAGGCAGGTGCCAATATGGTCTGTTGTACTGAACTTTTATTTCTGCACTGCTGGACATTTTATTTCTCTTTTGTCTAAGATCTTGTAACTGAAGAAGCTGTGTCTAGGTACTTTTGTATCGAAGTTGGCATTGTAATTGGCAACATATAAACTCTTCACTATACTCATTGAGTATGTGAGACAAGAAAGGCTCTTCTATTCTGTTCTCTAGTGCATGTCACCGTCCTTTCAACTCTGTCAAGTATACTCCATTACATTGCTCCTCTGATCCACTTCACTTACAAGAGCATCCATTGTTCAATTTCTAGACATTTCTTTGCATTCCAATTATCCGTCCACCATTGCTAGTCATCACAATCCTTTTGCTATGTCTGATGCATCTTTCTGTTAATCATCACTTAATGCATTGATTCCATCTGGTGAACATATTTCCTTATAGCCACTCACAGGGCTATTCTTGCTCCCATTGTAGAAGCACAGGCAAGAATTTAAAGGGAAAGGAAGAGAACTGCATGTGGCTCATCACAGACAGCCTCTTTCTTTGCAGTATTGGCTGCACAATGCAAATCAGCAACATCTCCACATTCCTAACCTTTGACCATGGACAGACCAAGAACAAAATCTTGTGAAGTTCCTGGGAAAGGGGACCCAAGGCAGCCGTAGGTACTTAAGTTAACAGGAGGCCAGAAAGTAGCTTCCCAATGGCAGGATGAAACTACAGCAAATTAAGCTTCTTAATGGCATGTGTCGGGAATATCTTTTTAATATATTTGCGTGTCATGCAAATTATCTTATTACCTATATTAAAAGGTAAGTTTGCCAAAATTATGTGTACCTTTCCAAACAAGTTACTAGTGAACAAATAAAAAAGCCTCTGATTCACAATGCTTAAACTTGGTATGTACCAGGCCATCTGCTACCTTGTTCACCACTCAATTAATCTGTCTGTATCTCTTTGCAGCTTTGCTCGGTATTTTCTCTCATAACTTTACCAACCACCGAGGATTTATATCATCACCCAACTGACATACATTATTCCGTCTCTTCACCTAAGCCATTAATACAGTTTGTCTACAGCTGAAGTATCAGCATTCCACTTCTTATAACCTACCACCCTGAAAATATCCCATTTATGCCTGTTCTCTGCTCCCTGCCCATTAACCAATCCTCTATCCATGCTAATTTCCAAGGACCGAAGTTAGGCAAAATGACCTACTTTAGCCCTCCCTCCTTTCTTGAAAAGCAGTGTTCCATTTGACAACTCCAATCTGACAGGACTATTCCCAAATCTCAGGAATTTGTGAACATCATAGACAGCACATCTACTAATTCGGCAGTCTTGCTTTTCGAAACGTAGGGTGTAGGTCTTCAGGTCCTATGGATGTATTGAATTTTAGTCCTTCACGTTTCTTCAACACTTTTTCTCTGATATTACTTATTCTTAAATGTTCTTACTCCTTTTAGCCTTTGGGTTACCCTCTATTTCTGATATGCTCCTGGAACATATGTTCCATGAAATTTCAGACTCCCAACGCTTGGCTGTGACTCCAAACACCCATCATTGAAGTCACAGTCAGGGCTCTTATTTGTTTAAGATTGCTTCAATAGAGATATAAATAGGAAAAGGCTGAAACTCTCGCGGTAGGGTAATCAGGTTCATACTTATAATGAGTAAGTATCTCTGCAAATAAAATCCATGAAAGTTACTAAAGTTAAAAGTAGATTGACTCCAGTCCTAAACTTCACTACTGAGGCTTTCAGGACTATAACAATGAGGTGTCAGGCAGAAATATCCATGAGGAGTAACCAGATGCATCAGGAAATAGAGAGAGAGTAATATAACTAGAATAAAGAACAGTTCAGAAATAAGAAAACCCAGACAGGAAGCAAAAAAAAAAAGCAGGCTAAGATGGATTTGGAGTTCATGCACGCAAATACATGGAGCATGATTAATAAGGTTGGTATGATGCAGACATAAGCAAGGACTATGGTTTAGCATCAAAACAGAGGCATGGCTTAAAGGAGGGGTGATTGGGAACTTCATATTCTTGGTTACTGGTATTCAGCAAAGATAGGGAAGGAATAAAAAAAGCAGGGGTTTCAGTATTGATCTAAGAAACTAGCATGCTACCTCAGCACTACAGAAGGATAATATTTGAGCAGTCAAAGACAGAAAAAAGAATTAAAGAACAAGGAAGCGGCTATTTTGATAGTGCTTACTATTAGCCTCATGTAGTGGGGAGAATATAGAGGATCAAATGTGCAGGCAAATTTCATTATACAAGAACTACAGAGTATTAATAATGACAGACTTCACTAAACCTAATATTGACTGGGATATTGACAATGTAAAAGGAAGGGTGTAGGAACTCCTTAAGTGCATACAAGGGAATTTCCTTAACCAGTGTGTTTCCATCCAATGTGTAAGGAAGCGGTGTCAGAACTAGTTCAGGGAAATTACATGCAGTGTGCTTCTGTGGGAAAGCATTTGAGGAAAGTGATCATCATCATAGAATTTATAATAATTAAAGTCAGAAACAGATAAAAGCAAGCACAAAAAACTCTTAACCAGAACTGGCAAGTTGGGATCAGGGTTCTATTTTTAATATTTTAGCCTACCACCTGTCACTGTCCTAAAATTCCCCATTGGTCTATGTGTTCGTCATGTAGGGGTTCAAATCTTCTCAACGGTTCCTGGCTAAGCACCCAACTGCTCTCTGCAAGCTGCAAGTTGCTCAGAATGCCATAGCAAATATCCTCATGCACACAATGTCTCAATGTTATCATTCCCACACTTTAACATTGCACTATGAGATCACCATGCTGTAATGAACTGACTTCCAAGTTACTTGTTCTTACTATCCTTCCAACACTCGAGTCTAACAATTTCATCCAGCCATGTCTGTATGTGAATGCTCGGCTCCATAAACTCGAGATTCTTGAATTCATCATTAATAGCTGTTCTTTCTGCTACTGCATTTTGCTCACCGAAACTCCAATACACCACAGTATTGCCCTCACTATTGCAAAAAGTTCTTCAGACCTCTTCCTCATGACTGTGCCTTTACCACTTTATCTAATCCTTGCTACCTTGTTAGTAGCATGTACCACTTGTCCCCATGCAAAGTAGTTTGAGAGACTCTCCTGCTTGTTGCAGTTTAGCTGGTTATAGCACTAAGCTAGCAACCTAGAGGCCATGACTTCAAACTCCCTTACTGTATTTTATACAAAGGCCCAAATGGTTCAGCAGTACACTCGAGAGGGAATCTAACATTTTAGCCCATCTGGTACATGTGACCCTCAATGTTGTGTCACATGGCTTAGCAAAGCACAGAGTTGCACGAAAAAAAATAGCTGTCATGTGAGGACAGAATCATGTACAACCGTCATGGCCAACAATATTACATAAAGAATGGCGACTTGAGCAAGGCACAATACAATTGTGCACAAACGAACTATTCCTCACCTGGAATCAGCACCTCTAATTTAACAGAAAACCAAAAAAGTAATAAAGCAAAATGAGATATATTAAGCATATAAAAAGTCAAAGATAAAATTTCCTTTCAAAATATATATCACATGTAAACCAGAATTCAGATTTAGAAATCTTAATATAAAGTTCAATGCAAAGTTATTGATTATCTATTCATTCACTCTACCTGTTTGACTTCTGTGCTACCTGTAGCTCTGCTTCTAAAGTCTTATTGTCAGCTATTAATTCTGTCTTTTCAAGGAGTAAGCTCTTCTTTTCAGCTTGCAAAGATGCAATTCTTCCCATCAATTCCTCCACTTCTACATGGTGTTTCTCTTGTTCCAGCTGTAGTTTCCTATCAAAGAGAAGGAAAAACAATTGTCTCACTGGTAGTCCTCTGGAAAATGGGAACATGATTGATGAGCTGCTTCAGGTCACACAACGAAGCATTAGTTACAGAAAATGTAGCTTGTGGCAGTTAAATGGCTGGATCAAAATAGATTCTTCTTAAGCCAAAATTAATGTATTGTGCTCAGTTTTTTTCAAAGTCTTGCAGACAACACAAAGTTGACTGAGAGGGTTAACTGTGAGGAGGATGCAGAGATGTTTCAGAGTGATTTGGACAATTTAAGTGAGTGGGTAAATACATGGCAGATGAAGTATGATGTGGATAAATGTAAGGTGAACCACTTCGGAAGCAAAAACGATGAGGGAGATTATCATCGGAACAGTGATAAGATGGGGAAAGGGGGAGGTACAATGTGACCTGGGAGCCCTTGTACACCATTGACTGAAACCAAGCGTGTCCAGCAGAGGGCGACAGTGAGGGAGAGGCACCACTGTGGTGCATACATTAGAGCCTGGAAGCAGTCACCTCTACTGAAGAGCAGATCATTGTGGGCCTGGTATCAAGGACTACCTAAGTCCCAATCATTACATCAATGCAGTAGTTCCCATCCTCTCTGCTCCTCTAACCAAAAAAGCAATAAGAGACACCTCCGGATCCAACGCATCATCCTCTGGCACTTCCGCCATCTGCAATCTGCAATTTGACCCCACTACCAAAGACATTTTTCCCTCCCCACCCTTATCTGCCTTCCAGAGGGACCACTCTCTCCGTGACTCCCTTGTCCGCTCCACACTCCCCATCAGCCCCACCACCCCCAGCACTTTTCCCTGCAACCGCAGGAAGTGCTACACCTGCCCCTACACCTCCCCCCTCACTTGCATCCCAGGCCCCAAGAAAACCTTCCACATCAAACAGATGTTCACCTGCACATCTGCTAATGTGGTATACTGTATCCGCTGTTCCCGATGTGGCCTCCTCTACATCAGGGAAACCATGTGGAGGCTTGGAGACTGCTCTGTGGAACACCTATGCTCGGTTCGCGACAAACGACTGCACATCCCAGTCGCGAACCACTTCAACTCCCCCTCCCACTCCTTGGATGTCATGTCCATCCTGGGCCTCCTCCAGTGCCACAACGATGCCACCTGAAGGTTGCAGGAACAGCACCTCATATTTCGCTTGGGAACCCTGCAGCCCAATGGTATCAATGTGGACTTCACAAGCTTCAAAATCTCCCCGCCCCCGACCACATCCCAAAACCAGTCCAGCTCGTCCCCGCCTCCCTAACCTGTCTGTCCTTTCTCCCACCTATCCACTCCTCCCACCACAACCTCCACCCCCACCTCTTACCTACCAGCCTCATCCCCGCCTCCTTGACCTGTCCGTCTTCCCTTGACTGACCAACTCCCACCCTAACTCCCCACCTACACTCACCTTTACTGGCTCCATCCCCGCCTCCTTGACCTGTCCGTCTCCTCTCCCCCTATCTGCTCCTTTATCCATCTTCCATCCGCCTCCCCCTCTCTCTCTATTTATTTCAGAATCCCCTTCCCCTCCCCCATTTCTGAAGAAGGGTCCAGACCCAAAACGTCAGCTTTCCTGCTCCTCTGATGCTGCTTGGCCTGCTGTATTCATCCAGCTCTACACCTTGTTATCTCAGATTCTCCAGCATCGGCAGTTCCTACTGTCTCAGACAGACATGCTAATTTGTTGGTAGCAGAGTGAGAAGTAAGGCTTTGGCACGATAGGCTTCGGCGAGCAGCAGCTCAGCTAAGAGTACAGGTAAGCTCAGGTAAAGTCCTATTAACATTCCTCTTAATCTTAGAGCAGTTGAGATGGCAGTTAGGGCAGTGACACGCTCCTATAGCAGGATGTGGGAGATGAGGGAGACCTCCATTGTCCCCGATAACTACACCTGTGCGAAGTGCACGCAACTGCAGCTCCTGGGAGACTGTGTTAAGGTGCTGGAGTTGGCGCTGGCGCTGGATGCACTTAGGATCATCCAAGATGCTGAGCGCATCATAGATAAGAGTCTTAGTGAGATGCAGGCAGAGAGTAGATAAGTGATCACCAGTAAAGGCAAAAGGAGGAGGTACATTGTGCAGGAATCCCCTGTGGCCATTCCCCTCGAAAACAAGTATACCGTTTTCGATACTCCTTTTTTTTTCGGGGGGGGGGGGGCGGGGGGGTAGGGGGTAGGGGATTGACCGATCAGGGGAAAGCACCAATAGCCAGGTTGGCGACGCTACAACTGGCTCTGGCATACAGCGGGAAAGGGTAAAAGTAAACAGGACCTTCGTGATAGGAGATTCAATAGTTAGGGGGACAGACAGGATATTCTGTGGTCGCCAACAGGAATCCAGGATGGTGTGTTACTTCGCAGGTGCCAGGGTCCAGGATGTCTTTGGAGTGGCTGCAGAATGATCTCAAGGCGGAAGGTGAGCAGCCAGAAGAGATTGTGCACGTTGACACAATTGACATAGGCAGAAATAGGAATGAGGTCCTGCAGAGTGATTATAGAGAGCTAGCAAAAAAGTTAAAAACCAGGACCTTGAAGGTAGTAATCTCCGGATTACTTCCAGTGACATGTGCTAGTGAGGTTAAGAATAGGAGGATATGGCAGGGGGATGGGATCCTTAACAGCATGGAGGCGATTTCAAGGTTGGAAAGAAGAAACAGTAATCAGAAATAGCATGTTGAAGAGACAAGTCAGGATGGAACAGGAGAGGGAGTGAGGAGTGCCTGTTGGATTAAATTGCATGTATTTCAATGCAAGAGGGCTGACAGGTAAGGCCAATGAGCTCAGGCTGTGAATAGTTACGTGGGCCATTTGAGAAACATGGCTAAGGGAGGGACAGGACTGGCAGCTTAATGTGGCAGGATACAGGTGCTTTAGGCGAGACAGAGGGGGAGGAAAGGGGGGGGGGGGGGGAGTTGCATTTTTGCTTAAGGGGAGTATCAAAACAGTAATGAGCGATGAAATAACTGAGGGATCATTCAATGAGGCTTTGTGGGTGGAACTAAGAAATAAGAAGGGGATGGTGACAGAATTAGGTTTGTCCTATACGCCCCCAAATAGTCAATGGGAATTAGAGGAACAAATATGAAGGGAGAATGGGGAGACTTGCAGGAGCAATAGGGTTGTCATAGTGGGGGATTTTAATTTTACTAACATAGACTGACACTGCCATAGTGTTAATTGCTTAAATGAGGTGGAATTTGTTAACTGTGTTCAGGAAAGTTTCCTTAAACAGTATATAGAGGGTCCCACTCGGGAAGGGTTGATTGAAGTAATTTGTTTGCAGGCAAAGGGACCTCTGGCAAGTGGGAGGCCTTTAAAAGTATGATAGCTAGAGTTCAAGATCTTTATGTTCCTGTGAGGGTGAAAGGCAAGGTTGGCAGCAGTAGCGAACTCTGGATGACTTCAGATATTGAGACTTTGACCAGGAAAAAGGAGACATGACTCAGGAGCAGGCATCTGGGATCTAGGGAGTCCCTGGAGGTATGGAGGCGATACAGAAGTTTACTGAAAAAGGAAATCAGGAGTGTGAAAAGGGGGCATGAGATAGCTTTGGCAGAGAAGATTAGGGTGACTCCAAAGAGATTCTTGAAGGATGTTAAAGGAAAAAGAATAACTAGAGAGAGAACAGGACGCCTCAAGGACCAAAGTGGACATGAACGCAAGGTCCTCAATGAATACTTTTCCTCTGTGTTTACCATGGAGGAAGACATGAAGACTTGGGAACTTGGGAAAGTTAGTGGCGATATCGTGGGGACAGTCTATATCATAGTACAGGTGGTATTGGAATTACTAGAATGTATGAAGGTGGATAAATCTCCTGGTCCTGACTAGATATATCCAAGAACCCTGCAAGAGGCTACAGAAGAAATTGCGGGGGCCCTGACTGATATATTTGCATCATCGTTGGCCACAGAGCGAAGTCCCAGAAGACTGGAGGGTAGCGAATGTTGTGCCCTTATTCAAGGAGAGCTGCAAAGAAAAACTTGGGAATTAGAGACCAGTAAGCTTAACATTTGTAGTAGGTAAGTTACTTGAGAAGATTCTGAGGGATAAGATATACATGCATTTGGAAAGACAGTGTTTAATTGCAGTAGTCAGCGTGGCTTTGCACATGGGAGATCATGCCTCACAGACTTGTTAGTTAGAGTTTTTTGATGAAGCAACCAGGAAGGTTGATGAGGGCAGGGCAGTTGACAGAGTCTATATGGATTTCAGTAAGGCCTTTGATAAGGTTCCACATGGTAGGCTGCTCTGGAAGGTTAGATCACATGGAATCCAGGGAGAGCTGGAAAATCGGATACACAATTGGCTTGACGGTAGAAGCAGAGGGTAATACTGGAAGGATGCTGGTCTGACTGGAGGCCTGTGACTAGTGGTGTGCCTCAGGGGTCGGTGCTGGGCCCATAGCTGTTTGTTATTTATATCGATGATTTGAATGAGAGTGTACAAGGCATGATCAGTAAGTTTGCGGATGACACTAAAATAGGCGGTATCGTGGACAGTGAGGAAGGTTTTCAGATTTTGCAGCACAATCTTGATCAGCTGGGAAAGTGGGCCGAGAAATGGCAAATGGAGTTTAATATAGATAAGTGTGAGGTGTTGCATTTTGAAAAGTCAAATCCAGGTAGAAGTTTCATGGTGAATGCTAAGGCCTTAAGGAGTGTAGTGGAACAGAGGGACCTTGGAATTCAGGTGCACTGTTCTCTGAAAGCGGAGTCACAGGTAGACAGGGCAGTGAAGAAGGCTTTTGGCACACTGGCCTTCATCAGTTAGACCACTGAGTATAGAAGTTGGGAAGTTATGATGTAGTTGTACGTGATATTGGTGAGGCCACACTTGGAGTATTGTGTTCAGTTTTTGTCACCTTGCTATAGGAAGGATGTTATTAAACTGGAAAGAGTGCAGAAGAAATTTACAAGGATGTTACCAGGACTCAAGAGACTGAGTTACAGGGAGAGATTGGACAAGCTGGGACTTTTTTCTTTACAGCGTAGGAGACTGAGGGGGGATCTTATTGAAGTGTATAAGACCAGAACAGGCATGGATAGGGTAAATGCACTCAGTCTTTTTCCCAGGGTTGGGGAATCGAGGACCGGGGGGGGCATCAGTTTAAGGTAATAGTGGAAAGAATACATGGGAACCTGAGGGGCAACTTTTTTTTTTTTTTTTTAAACACAGAGGGTGGCATGCATATGGAATGAGCTGTCAGCAGAAGCGGTTGTGGCAGGTACATTAATAACACTTAAGACATTTGGACAAATACATGGATAGGGTAGGCAATGGCCTAGTGGTAATATCACTGGACTGTTAATCCAGAGACCCAGGTGATGTTCTGGGGATCTGGGTTCGAATCCTGCCACTGCAGATGGTGGAATTTGAATTGAATAAATATCTGGAATTAAGAGTCTATTGATGACCGTGAATCCATTGCCGATTGTTGGAAAAATCCAACTGGCTCACTAATGTCCTTCAGGGAAGGAAACTGCCATCCTTACATCTCTGGCCTACATGTGACTCCAGACCCACAGCAATGTGGTTGACTCATAACTGCCCTCTGGGCAATTAGGGATGGACAATAAATGCTGGCCTAGCCAGCGACGCCCTCATCCCATGAATGAATAAAGAAAAAATATAGAAAGGTTTAGAAGGATATGGACCAAGTGCAGGGAAATGGGCTTGTATGATTCGACATTTTGGTCAGCACGAGCCAGTTTGGGCCAAAGGGCCTGTCTCCGTGCTGTAGGTCTCTATGACTCTTTGTGCAGCAGGCAGTGAAGAAGGCAAATGGTACATGTAGCGAAAGGATTCAAGCACAGGAACAAGGGTGTCTTCCTGCAATTGTATACGTCTGAAATAGTGTATGTAGTTTTAGTCTGCTTATCTGAGGAAAGATGTTTTGGCTTTAGAGGGAGTGCAACAAGGATTTATCAGACTGTTTCCTGGGTTGACAGGACTGACATATGAAGAGAGACTGGATCTGTCAGGACTACACTAACTGGAGTTTAGAAGAATGAGCAGTGATCTGATAAAAACCTATAGAATTCTATCAGGACTAGGCAGGATAAAGGCAGGAAGGATGTTCCCGATGACCATGGAGTCCAGAACCGGGGGTCACAACTTAAAGATACAAGGCCATTTATGACTGAGATAAGGAGAACTATCTTCACTCAGAGTGGTGGAATTCTCTGCCACAGAAAGGCATTGAGGCCAAAATATTGAATGTTTTCAAGAAGTTAGATATAGTTCTTAGGGCTAAAGGGATTAAAGGGTTTGGGAAGAAAATGGGAACAGGGTACTGAGTCAGATGAATGAGCCTGATCGTTTTGAATGGCAAAGTAGGCTCGAAGGGCCTACTCCTACTTTCTGTTTCTGTCAAAGATGAAACAAGGTCACTCACATATTATTTTGGATGGGAAGCACATCATATGGGATCAATGAATCCATGAATCTGGTCAACGTGGAGAAAAGACAGTGACCTTGAGTTCACTGGATTTAAGGTAAAGAGAGTTATTTTAATTCTGTATTGGTAAAACTATTTTGTAAATAAATGTAACTTGTGAAATTTACGACAAATTACGACTTTCAAAAACAAAGTACACTTGTGGATATAGGATATGGATATGGCAAAAGGACATGAGAAGACACTATACTTGAACTGTTAACCTAATTTCTAAGTTTACTAGTATATACTCCATATGCTTATGTTTCCAACATTTCCTAGTTTTATTCAAGAATTTGAGCACACCTTGTTTGAAATTATACTTGAGCAATCTAAATGCATTCTTTGAGTTATTTTATCACCACTACACTGGGATTAATTCCTTGTATTTTACATAATTATGACAAATGCTCATCTAAAATGTTTGCAGTATATTTTCATCCCTTCTTCACAAATCCTTCTGCATATAAACCTGAAAGATTTCTTATTTCTAAATGTAAATTTTAGGCACTTGAGCAAATGCAAAAAAAGTACCCTTTGAGATCGTTCACCATTGCAGTATGGTCATCAATTCTCACTCTGTCATCAAGAGTTGCTTTAAGTTGGTCATACTTTGAGGAAAGTTTGTTCAACTCTTGTTGAGTCTCACGTAATTCCTTTTGTTGGCTTTGTTTCTCCGATTCCAGCAGCATCAATTGTTTAGTCAATTTTGACACTAATATAAAAATAAAAATATAGGTTGAGACATTTGGTAGTCTGTCCTTGATGCGAATCGAAAGGAGTGGTCAATAGCTTGAAAAGCTTCAGAAGATGGTGCACCTAGTCTGAAGCTGAAGTAAAATGGTAGCATGAGATAATGATGACAAATGTCACAATGCAGATGTATCACATTTCTAAAATTTTAGAACATTCAAGCTTGCGGTATGACAGTGAGTAGCAAAAACAATTGCGTAACTGAGTTGCAAACCTTTAGGCATTCTTGATGTAAATTTAAAACATTATAAACTAAATAAAATGTTCAAGGCAAAAAAACAAACAAAATATGAAGGGAACTTCATGATAAAGCAACAGTGAAATAAAATAAAACTGGCAGAAATAAGTAAAAGATAACCTGAAGTCTACTGATTGACAGATATACACTACGAGGAGGGGAGGTGAAGAAAGACACATCTTAGCAAGGAAAGTCTTCAAGAAGTTCAAGTGGGCTGGGACTAGATGTTAAATTAGGAAGAATTCATTCAAAGATCAGATTGTATTGTATATAGACTCACCTTCTTGTATGTGTCTGCTGTGACTGCTTTTTGCTTTAGCTTGCTGTATCTCTAGCTGCTCCATCAGGACTTGGTTTTCCTCCAAAACCAACTTTGCCTGATCCTGCAATTGATTCCTGGAAAAACAAAGTGGAAACCCCTCTCATTATCTATAACGTAACGAATCCTATGAGCAAGAAGCTATCAGCAACATTACAGTTACATTACATTTTTCAATTTCAAAACGACCAACTGGACTGCCATTTTTTGTGAATTGATGATAATTTTGTGTAAATAAATGGTTTACAAATACAAAGGGAAGGTGGTGTAGCCAAATGTCACTGGATTAATAATCCAGAACCCCAAACTAAAGTTTTGGGGCCATGGGTTCAAATCCCACCATTGTGGATGGTGAAACTGAATTCAATGGAAAATCATTCAAAGAACCCATCTTGTTCACTAATGTCCTTTAGGGAAGGAAATCTGTCATCCTTACATGGTCTGACCTACATGTGACTCCAGAACCACAGCAATGTGGCTGACTTCTAACTGCCCTCCCTCTGAGTGATTAGGGATGGGCAATAAATGCCAGTCAGCAACACCCAAACTCAATGAAAATAAAAAAGACAACAAATTATGGGTGACAAACGGTAATTCTATGATATTAGTTTTAGAGGGTAAACAGGGCTCAAGGGAGAAAAGACAGAATCAAAGTATAATCCCACACAAGCTACTGAATGTCTCACAGCAAGGTCAGGGCTGGGAAACTTAACATTCAGAGTCACCACTGTCCCTATCATATGGCAGGAGACATGTATTTTTAAAAATTTTCTTCTATGGAGATGCAGTGATATATATCACTAGACTAGTAATCCAGAGCCCCTAGAAATTCTGGGGACATTGGTTCAAATACTACCATGGAAGATGGTAAAATTTGAATTTAAAGATAGTCTAATGACAACCATTGTTATAAAATAACCCATCTGGTGTACTACTGTCCTGGAGAGAAGGAAATCCGCCTTTCTTGGTCTAGCCTACATGTGACTCCAACCCCATAGCTGTATGGTTGATGCTTAACCACCCCCTGAAATGGCCTAGCCAGCTACTCGGTTGTATCAAATTGCTATGAACAAACTGAATGGACCACCCGGCATCAAACTAAACACTCGAAACAACATTGCAAATACAACCCCATCAACTTGGCAAATTTCCCTTTACCAACATTTACAGGCTTGTGTCAAAATAAGAACTATCCCACAACAAGTTAAGCAATAGCCTGACATAGTCATTATCATACATTAAACGATATCCCAGACACCACCACAGTGGAGGACATACATATCAACAGCACCATCCCTAGGTTTGGCGAATCAAGTAGGCCCCTGTGCTGGCACCATAGGCACCTGGGAGGAACTGGAAACCAGGGTGAGGATGACCTTTGAATAGGTGGAAGTGGAACCATGCAATCTTTTGCTAATTTCCAGATTAGTTTGAAGGCAGCAGTATTAATGCAAATGAGCTTCATGTAGAGCCACAATGAAGGGGAGGGGAGAGGAGACTGCACAATGTGATTTGTCTGAGGGGAGGGGATTCCGCCATACTGTGATTTACCCGGGCTCTGAACTCACATAACGACTGTTCTGACAAACAGAGATATTGGACTAATGGTATACAGTTGGGAGTTGCCATGGCAGTCCTCAACATTAACTCTGGACCACATGAAATCTCATGGCATCAGATTAAAAATGCAGAAGTAAACCTCCTGTTGGTTACCTCCATTTCGCTGATGAATCAGTACTCCTCCATGTTAAACACACAACTTGGAGGAAGTACTGAAGGTGCCACAGAATGTTCTCTGGCTATAGACTTCAATGTCCATTCATAAGAGTAGTTCAGTGGCACCACTACAAACAAGGCTGACTGAGGCCTAAAAGACATAGCTTTGAATCTGGATCTGCAGCAGATGTTGAGGATACCTAGAAGAGGGAAGCATTCACTTAAGCTCTTCCTCACCAATCGACTTGTTGCAGTCGTGTCTGACCATGATGGCATTGGTATGAATGAATACCACACAGTCATTGTGGAGATGAAGTGCAGTCTCAACATCGAGGATATCCTTGATCGTATTGTTGTCCTTGTGCTAAATGGGACAGTGTTTAACAACTCAAAACTGGGTATCCAGGAAGTCCTGTGGGCCACATGCAGAGCAGAATTTGTATTCAGCTAGAATCTCATGGCCTGGCATATCCCTCACTACAACATAATCATAAAACTGGGGGATGAACTCTGGTTCAATGAAGACTACAGATGGCATAATTAAAAATATGGTGTCAAGTTGGTGAAGCAACAACACAGGATTACGTGCATGCCAAACAACATAAGCATGTAAGTGACAGGCCTAAGCAATCTCACAACCAATGGATCAGATCTAAGCTCTGCAGTCCTGCCACAGTCAGTCATGACTGGCAGTGAACTCTAAGTGACTCAGTGCAGGAGGCAGTTCCACAAATATCCCCACCCTTGATGACAGGAGGGGAGAGTGCAAAGACAAAACTAGAACATGTGCATCCATCTTCATTCAGAAATGTCGAGTGGATGATCCATGTCAGCCTCACCCTTGTCACAGATACTAGTTTGCAAGCAATTCAATTCAGTTCATGTGATACCGAGAAATGACTGAAGGCTCTGTATACTGTAAAGGATATAGGCCCTTTCTGGCAATAGTACTGATGATTTTTGCTCTAGGACCAACTGCACTCTAACCAAACTGTTCAAGGACAATTACATCTCTGGCACACAATTTGAAAAATTGCACAAATATGTCCCTTGCACAAAAAGCACGATAAATCCAATCTGGCCACTTACATCCTTAGCAGTCTACTCTTTGTCAGCAAAACGATGGAAGGGGTCATCAACAGTGCTATCATGCCGGTATTGCAAAGGAATAACCTTGAGTTTGGGTTCCAGCAAGGTCACTTAGCTGCTGACCTTACCACAGTGTTGGACTAAACATGGACAAAAAAACTGAACTCCAGTGGTGAGTTGAGAGTGACTAACTTTGACATCAAAGCAGTATTTGATTAACTATGGCATCAATGAACCCTAGCAAATTAGAGTTGAGGGAAGTCAGGGAGAAAATTCTCTGCTGGGGTTGCAGTCAAACGTGGTACAATGGAAGATAGTTGTGGCTGTTTGGAGGTCAATCACTTAGCCCCAGTACATCACTGTATGATTCTTCAGGGTAGTGTCCTAGTTCCAGGCATGTTCAACCACTTCAGTAGTGACCTCCCCTCTATCAGAAGGGGAGGTTTGGAGACGTTCCCAATTGATTGTACAATGTTCAACACCTTTCTCAACTTCTCAGATAACGAAGCAGTCTATTTCCATATGCAGCATCTGGACAACATCCAGCCTTGAGATGAAAAGCGGGATGTTAAATTCATGCCACACAAGCACCAGGCAATGATCATCTCCAAGACAAAAGAATCTAACAATCAATGGCAATAGAATCAAAGAATCCCCCGTAATCAATATTCTGTGGGTACACATTGGCCTGAAAATGAAATGAGCCACCCATTTAAATACTTTGGCTGCAAGAACAGGTCACAGGCTAGGAATTCTCAGTGAGTAACTCACCTCCTATCTCCCCTTTGCCTGTCTACCATCTACAAGGTACAAGTCAGGAGTGTGATGAAATACTCTCTATTTGCCTGGAGGGTGCAGCTCCAACAAAACTCAAGAGACTTGACACCATCCAAGACAAACATGTTTATTTAATTGGCACCCAATGATTACCTTCAATATTCATTTGTTTCATCATCAATGTACAGTGGCAGCAGTGTGCAGCATCTACAAGATATTCTGCAGAAATTTACAAGGATCCTTTGACAGCATTTCCAAAATCCACAATCGCTATCATCGAGGAGGACAAAAATAGGAGGGATCATCACCACCTGCAAGTACTCCTACATATCGCTCATTATTATGACTTGGAACAATATCGTCCTTCTTATATTGTCATTTGGTCAAAATCCTGAACTTCTTAACAATGCTGTGGTTGGGCCCAGGCTCCAAAAAGGCAGCTCACCACCACCGTCTCTACGAAAATTTGAGATGGGCAATAGATGCTGGTCTAGCCAGCAAAGCCCACATCCCATGAATGAATAATAATAAAAATAAGAGTTTGCAAAATCCTATCGAGGAGGATTCTTAGGTCTGTCTCGCTGAAATTGCGGCTTCTTTTCTTCTATGTTGCAGTGTCTTTCTTTAGCTAACACTATTAAACATTCTGTTAGAAGACTTCATTTAAAAGTGGCACAAAATCCAGTGCCGTTCTGAGACCAACCAACTCGATCACCCAAGGATTCTGGTACTTAGATCCTACTGCCTGAGCTCACTTCTGCATTTTTCAGCCGTGTTTGTCATTTGGAAGATTTAATTTCAATTTAAGGACATGTCCATTATAGTATTCCAACTATTATACAGGATTCATGCAACAATTTCACTAAGGTACGCACAGAAGAGTTAAACCAACAGGCTTTGACGGTCAGCACTTCAAAGTACAAATGCTGATTTGGGGTGCAAAGTCAGCACAATAAATTTTTGAAATTTCAGCACTTAATGTTTCTGCTAATCTTCAAGGCACTAGTAAATGACTAACAGGCTATATTGACTATAATTCAAAGCTTCTGACATATTTTTACTTAGTATGTCATACCACTCTTTGCTGCTAACAGCACCATTTCTTTCACGTTGTTGATGAAGCTGTTCATTCTCCCTCACCACCTCTTCGACTCGAGCTCTGAAATTCTTCATTTCCTCCTGTGAGTAAGTAAGAATATTAGAGAAGCGAGGAAGAATCAGGAGAAAAGAGTAGCACCAACAATATAGGGAAACCCCAAAATCTTCTATGGGCAGATAAATAGTAAAAGGGTGGTAAAATACAAACTGTAGGGTCAATTACGGATCAAAGAGGGGATTCACACATGGAGGCAAGGGGCATTGCTGCGGGTTAAAGAATATTTTGCATCAGTCTTCACCAAGAAAGTAGATGTCATCCAGTCCATGGTGACAGAATAGGAAGCTCTGTCAGTAGAAGGGTTCAAAACTGATGAGGAAAACCATGTTGGATACGCAATCGATACTTAATGTTCACAAGGCACCAGCACAAGATGAGATGTATCTAAGGATATTGAATGAAGTGAGTAAAAATTGGAGGGATACTGGCAATAATCGTCCAGTCTTTCCTAAACTCATGATCACTGGAGGATTGCAGAAATTACATACTTATTCAAAAAAGGTTGGAAGGATAAGCCTAGCAGTTAGAGATTAGTCACATGAACTTCAGTGGTAAGGAACTTTTAGAAACAATTATTCAGGATACAATTAATAGTCACATGGAAGAAGATGGGTTGATTAGGAACAGCCAGCATGGATTTCAAAGGGTAGATCATATTTGATTAATTGGCTGGAATTTTTTGAAGAGGTAACAGAATGAGTTGATAAGGGTAATGCTATTGACATGATGTACATGGACTTTCAAAAGGCATTCAACATGTCATAACATAACAAATGTCTAAAACAGGCTAGAGTTTACGGAATAAAGGAACAGGAACAACATGGATACAAAATTGGCTGAGTAATAGGAAAGAGAGAGTAGTGGTCAATTGATATTTTTCAGGTAAAAAGTTTGTAGCAGAGTTTCCCAGGGACCCTTACTTTTCCTAATATAGTAATGATCTATATCTTGGTACACTGGGACAATTCCAAACTTGCAGATGATACTAAACTTGGAAGTGCCATAAACTGTGAGGACAGTGCAGAGCTCCAAAAGGACATAAACAAGTTGATGAAGTAGGTAGATAGGTAGCAAATGAAGTTGATGCAGAGAGTGGTGAGGCAGAACATGGAAGTTCAGTAGGAAGAACATGGACAGTCAATATAAAATAAAGACTACAACATCTAAGCAGGTGCAGGAACATTAGGGCCTGGATATATATTTTCACAGATCGCTGAAAGTGGCAGAATAGGTGCAGAAGATAGTTAATAAAGCATACAGTATAACTGGCTTTATTAATAGGGGCACAGATTGCAAGAGCAAGGAGATTCTGCTAAGCTCATTAAAGACGCCCGTTAGACCCCAGTTGAAGTATTGTTTACGGTTCTGGGTGCCACACTATAGGAAGGACGTGAACATACTGGGAAGAGTGCAAATAAGCTTTAGAAATATAGTCCCGGGAATGACAAAATTCAGTTATAAGGTTAGGAGTGTTTTCTTTGGAAAGAAGGGGGATAAGAGAAAATCTGATAGAAGTTTTCAAGATCATGACAGGTTTGGATAGAGTAGATCATAAGAAACTGCTCTTGCTCATAAAAGTATTGAGAATGAGTGAGCACAGGTCTCAAGGGATTTGCAAACATAACAAATATGATGTGAGAAAAGTACTTTTTCACACAACAAGTGGTTCATGTCCATAAGGGAATGCGCCGCCTAGGTGTGGTGGAGGCAGAGTTAATTGAGGCATTCAAGAGGGCATTAAATGATTATTTGAATAGAAACAACATGCAAGTGTATGAGGAAAAGACAGGCAAATCCCAGTCTAACTCATAACGCTCACTGGAGAACCAGTGCAGACATCATGTGCCGAATGGCCTCCTTCGGCATCATAACAATTGTGATTCTGAATGTTCAAAGATCAGATGCAGGAATTAGGAATAACCAAAGACAAATAAGCATCTGTGTTGTTTCCAAAATCAATGTGTTTTTCTGAATTGTAATTATCAAGTAGGAAAAGAATATGACCATTGTTAAATATTTGGCAATGTTAATACTTGATACATAAGAATGCATATTCAAACAAATTTATATTTATACAGAGTCCTTAACATATTACGTTTTGCAAATGTGGAAAAAACATCAAGCAGTTCTGAATAAAAAGGCAGATTTTTATTTATGGATTAGATGGAGATAGCAAAAGAGATTTCATTTCTAGAATAGAAAATTTAAACATATTCATGGTAGAATACAGAAGGGATCTAGAAAACAGGTCAGAGTCAGAGAGTGGAGGACATCAGCATGCTTGCAGAGAGTACATAGTTAAGGTGGAAGAAGACTATGGAAAGAATTGTATACCAAGTCAATAATCAATGCTGATACTTAACATTCAATTCAATAGAAAACTAAAACAACCTTGTAAGTTACAGAGGACTGAAGTGTAAGTAAAAAGAACTTTCTGTGAGACATGACGAGTTGTCAGTAGTCTAGAGATAACTGAAAAATGTTTCACTAGTGAGTCAAATCATGAGCAGGAGGAGGATTAGGAAAAAGCACTACTCAGATGACCATGTGAAGTGACAAATAAGCCATTGCAGAAGGTGCACTGGCTACCTTGGACAGATGGAGGTGGAACCAATTGAGAGTAATATCACAGACGTAAATCACAGCAGAGAAGCTGAGAAAAGATGGAGTGATCACCTGTCTCAAAATCCAGTGTAAGAGATAATGGGTTCAATTTTCTTTGTTTATTAAGCTGGGTAATGAGGTGAGATGAGAACAAAGTTGTAAAATAGGTCACAGGACCTGGACGCAACACATTATCATTTCAGAGAGAGCTTTCTGGAAGCTAGCTGCCCAGCATCAGTGAGTAGCAAACTAAGCATACTAATAAGTCAGGAAGCATCTGTGGAGAGAAATCAGAGTTAATGTTTTGGGTCCAGTGATCCTTCATCATTAGTAAAGAAGGTTCTGAAGACGGGTCACCGGACCCAAAACATTAACTCTGATTTCTCACCACAGATGCTGCCACACCTGCTGAGTTTTACCAGCAATAGAATCATAGAATCCCTACAGTGTGGAAACAGGCCCTTCGGCCCAACAAGTCCACACCGACCCAGAACATGCCACCCAGACCCATCCCCCTATAACCCACCTAATTTATACATCCCTGAACGCTATGGGCAATTTAGCATGGCCAATCCACCTAGCCTACACATCTTTGGACTGTGGGAGGAAATTGGAGTACCCAGAGGAAACTCACGCAGACACTGGGAGAATGTGCAAACTCCACACAGACAGTCGCCTGAGGGTGGAATCGAACCCGGGTCCCTGGTGCTGTGAGGTAGCAGAGCTAACCACTGAGCCACCGTGCCGCCTTATGTCTCATCTCCATCCTAAATGGTCTAACCAGAATCCTCAGACTTGAGGGGATTGGTTCTGGACACACCCACATTTGTCAGAACTGCAGCGAAAACGGTCGGTCGGTCAGTCAATCTCTCAACTGTCCTGCCATCAACCTGGTAAACCTTTGCTGAGCTCCCAAGAGCAAATTGTCTCCAAATGTCTTAAGTTTTGCAATTTTACCCTCCTCTAGTTCCTTTGGCAGCTCATTCTATATACATATCACCCTCAGAGTTGCACCTTAGTTTCCCTTTTAAATCTTTCCCCTCAACTTAAATCTATGCCCTGTAGCTTTGGACTCCCCTACCCTGGGAAAAGTTCTAGGTAGTAGTTATCAACTGTACACTTTCACTTACCACTTTGTTAAGCCACTGGCATGTGAAAGAGTAATCACTTACAATAGAAGATAATACGAATCTGTGGATGGTTTCCAAAGACTCCCTACTTTTGAGAAATTTCTCCTCACTTTAGTCTTAAATTTGTGCCCCTTTATTCTGAGCCTGTGTCCTCTGACACTAGACTGTCATGAAGGGAAACATCTGAGCATTTACCCTGCTAATCCCCTTAAGAATCTTAAATGTTTCAATGAGATCACCTCTTATTCTTCTAAATTCCAGTGAGTAGTAGAGTCCCAATCGCTTTAATCTTTGCTTGTAAGACAAGCTCCCCCATACCACAGATCATCCTAGTGAGCTGCCTCCAATGAAATACTACCTTTCCTTAAAGGTTTTCTGTTTTTGCTTTTGTTTCTCATTTCCAGCATCTGGAATTCTTTTGGTTTCTTTTATATTTAATAAGTCAGTTGAGGGAACATTGACGGTGCTGGCAGGATCTTCCCACACACAGTACATTTTTAGCCAAGGTATAAAATTTAAAAAGTGTGTATATGTTCAACTGCAGACTTAACTAATTCGAAAACTTCAGTCCCACAGACAGTTCTGGTCACCAAATTACAGAAAGATTGATTGTGCTGGAGAGAAGATTCACTAGGGTGTTGGAGGAACTTGAAAATTTTATCAACTTTGAAAGATGGGATAGGCTGAAGTGGTTTACCTTGGAACACAGGAGGCTAAGGGAGTAACTAAATTGAAGTGTATAAAATTATGAAGGGTTTAGATAGGGACAACCTATGTATCTTAACAGATTGGTCAAAATCCAGTGGACGTAAATTTAAAGTAGTCCTTGTAGAAGCATTAGAGGGGAGATGAGGAAACCTTTTCTCACACAGAGAAAGATACAGACTTGAAAATACTACCTGAAAGAATGTAGAAGCAGGAACATTCATCACATTTAAATGTACACAGAAATTGACTTGCAGAGCCGTGGTTTAATGTGGCTGTAGACTTGGTGCAGGTTTGTGGCATAGGTGGGTAATCCACGTCAACCAGCAAGACATAATGATCAATGGGCCAGATGACCAAATTTTCTAGGATTTTTCATGATTCCATGAGGCTGGAATCTAGCAGGAATTTGAAAGCATCCTTTCAGTGGAAAGCCGTGGAATCATCAATCCTTCCACTCAATTAACCCAGCTTACTCACTTTAGATTCAAACTGCAACAGCCACAAACCTTACAACTGTGGTCACGTACAATTCTTAAGTCATCACATTGCTAAAAAAGTGAACCCGCGTTTTGAGGTACCCTCCTGGTCTCTTGCCTGCCACAACAGCACACATCTGTCCAAACAGGGCTGGTACTTAGATATTTCTGTGATTCTCCTGTTGGGCTCTTGCTTTCATGGCTCACCAACCATTCTTAATTAAGACAGGGATCCCTGAGGCAGCTTCCTAATTGGCCATCTCCCAGAATGATTGTGACTAACATTACAATATGAGAAATCACAAGACACCAGGTTATAGTCCAACAAGTTCATCTGAAAACACAGCTTTTGGAGCCTCACACCTCCTTCAGGTGTTAATGAGGTGATATCAGACACAGAATTTATAAGTAAAAGATCAAAGAGTCACACCACTCATGAGGATGTATTAAACAAATCTAAGATGCTGTTAAATCTTTAATCAGTTAGAAGGTTTTAATTGATTAATATGTATATGTAAATCCCCCAATTCCTTTCAAGTCACCACCCTGAGAGAACTAAAGGTTTTATCAGTGTAAAGAAAAGGTGACAGTTTAGGTCAGACAATGCATGGTGGGTGTGAGGCCTTGTTTAGAATCGTTTGTGTTTTGGTTTGGAATCAGACTGGTTTTAGTTCTAA